AGGGTCCCCACCGACTCCAAAAATAACAATAATTGTAACTACATTATATTCATTTCATTTTATTTAGGAAAACTCAAATAAATATTTTGATCGTTGTTTGTTATTCACAGGTATATATTATACATATGTTAAGTTAGATTTGAAGTGGGTAGGTACCTACCTAGCTTCTTGCGTGGTAAACACATAGATCGTTCCTGCATAATTATAGATGAGTAGAAAAAGTAAGTTGATTATTAAGTTGTAGAAGAATATTATGCATTTATTTTTTTTTCTTTTTAGTGCATATTAATTTGTTTTGGAATAGTGTTTTTTGAAGTCGGTTTTATTTTTTGTTAAAAAATTTTGTACAAACTTCGACGAAAACAACCTAGTTTACGAAAGAATTATAAAGAAGATTTATTTATAAGTTTTATTATTTCACAATACATTTTATGGCTATGTTATATAATAGAATTATATAAGTATGTATGTGTATATAAGCCACATGTCCGGGTAGTACTTAGATTAATTATATTCTCAATATTTAATACATAGGTATTTATCCATATGAGTATTACCTATGGTTGTCTATGAATGAAAACATATGCCTACCTACTTAACTTATTAGAGGAAGAGGGAAATTCTAAACTATTTTTATTTACCGTTCTAATTTAATTTCTGAGTTTTAGATTGAAAAGAATTATATGTATTAAAGAATTTATGATCATCATAAGCACGTCTATTTTAGGAAGATCATCTAATTGTGCTTTGACAAAACTAGTTTCAGTCTTTGTGTTAAGTCTTTCTTTACAAGGATTTAATACTTTAAAACAGAAAACTAAAAGCGTAATATGAAACAACCGCAAAACAATACAAATTAAAAATCACTAGAAACCATACAAACAACTTGTTGACAGTGAAATTTGACGTCACGTTTTGTTCTACCAATAGCGTTGCGTTTTAGAAATTTGCGAGGGAATTTTAAAAAAAGACCACACAGGCACACACGGGTTGAACGTACTAATATCAGTAACCACTGTTCGAATTGAAAAATCCTTTAGTATTAGATAGCCGTTTAATCGAGGAAAGCTATATAAAATCGCGCTACGACCAATAGAAGCAAAACAAAAGTCAGCAAATCTGTCAAAATGAATTCAGTTTTAGAGACGCAGACGAATTCTGTAACTCCTTAATTAAATGTCGTATTCTTGTAGTGCCAAGGTCGATGCATTTGGTTAAATTATACATGTAAGTTACCTACACAGACTAGAGGTATGCTTCAAAATATTATCACTTAATTTACATGAAGTTTTATGAGTGCCTACCATGATGAATACGTAATGTGGGACTGAACAAACTGTATTTTCTTTATAAGAATATTTTCAACTAGATAGCTTAGATCGTTTATGTTTAGATGTAGCATCTTACTACATAATAACTTCAGACGAGCCAACTTTATTAAGCTTGTGTGTGTGTAAATCGAGTTGAGAATTTTTTTGACATTTAACAGCTGTGAAAGTCTATCAAGAGATATAAATGATCGAAGGTTGTAGAAATAAACTATTACTATTATTTCATTTATTACGAACAGTTTCCCGCCGTTAATGGCCATTGCTCCGCTCCTAAAGATGAATACATTATTTAAGACAAAAAGAATTATGCAAATCTGACTGATAGTTCTCGAGATCTGCATTTAAATAAATATAAAACTCTTGTAGTCATTGCAAATAAAAGGCAATTTACCTCAATTTATTAAAAACTAGCTGACCCTGCAAACGTTGTTTTGCTATTTACATTTTTTTTTTTGTATTTCTTAAAATCTGTTCTTAGCTGACCTCTACTCGGTGAAAAGAATTTTCCTACCAAATTTCAAGTCTTTAGCTCTAATGGTACCAGAGGTATCGTGATGAGTGACTATATACGTGGAAATCTCTTATATATATATATATATCTTATTATATAAAATGTCAAGTTTGTTTGTGTACGCTTCAAAAACTCAAAAAAAACTGCACCGATGGAGGTTAAAGTTTTGTTCTTTATTTCTTCTCAATGTAAGCAAAATGTGCCACAGCAAAACGTGGCGGGGTACAGCTAGGTTTTTTACAATTTATTTGGTAGTTACGTTGCTTACTATTAGATACAATGTCAATCGAAATGCAAATCATCATCATCAACAGCCTTTCATAGTCCACTGCTGGACCTAGGCTTCTCCTTAGAAAGAAGGTTTTGGCCTAATATACACGTTTGGTAGACGGGTTGGTATAGGACTATAGGGCTTGTTTCAAGTTTTCCTTCTCTTTGCAGTGCTGTTATCCTGCAGAATTTGCTCCCTTAGTCGGCTCGTACGACACCCATGGGATGAATAGGGGTGGTGACACTCCGTATTCTTAATCCGTCCCCACTCGGACATACATACCAAAATACATAAGCGATAAAGACACTTAAAATATCTTTATCTAGAGCTTAAAAGTTATTAGATCCAACATATTACAAACAAACAAATTAGTTCTACTTGTAATAAACACGCAATGACAAGCCAATTAAGTTAGTGTTTTGTGCACGCAATTGTAGTCTTTAAGTGAACAATGTTATCATTACGCCATAGCACTTACATACAAATTAACAAGCTTATCGTAATATAGCTGTATTTGCCTTGGCTCGTGTATCTAATTTAATTACCGTGAATATTATTACAATATTACAGAATATACTGTTTCTAAGTATGTATTTACCATATAAATATATACATGTGTATAGCTATTTTTCTTTCGTTTCTGTAAATAAAAATGTAAAGCTATTTTGTTTTGTGGGCGTCCATAAATTACGTGTACCCTCCATGGTGAGACTCGCAATACCATGATAAATATTACTGTATAAGACTTGGCTATGTTTCAGTGGAGGAACATGTTTTACCTAATTTAACCCAGTTTTCTCGCAATTTTACTCTGTTTCTTGCGGATAAAATAATACGTGATATTTGCGGAGACCTTCCCCCTCCCCCCCCCTGAACGCCTCACGTAATGGACGCCCCTTTAATGCAGCTAAGCAAATAAAATAAAATTGTTTCCTCAACTCTGAACTGAATTCTGAACAACAAAAATTCTTAGTTAGCGGTTAAGGTCATTTACGAAATCTAAACTACGACCTAGTCTTTCTTAAACACTATATAATTATATGGTACATAAGTTACAGATACGTACAGTAGTTACGTAAACAAAACATTTTACTGAAACCATTCAATTAACACCGCATACGGTCAAAAACTGCAATGTAATTAATCAAACAGCCGAAGCGCGAGAGGCCTTCCCTCAGCCGCCAACTTGTGTTAGTGTACGTAGGCTGTTTGCTCAGAATCCAAATGTAGTTATCACTTTTGTGCGATACCTACGGAGAATGACCTTAACATTGGACAGCTGATTGCATAAAACGTTCAATTTTCCGGCAGATAATTCCAATGAATTTTGACTCCGAATGATGGTCTGAATACACTATTTCGGAATTCGTTACGACGTCCCTTACACTGTATATTATGTAGGTATATTATAGCTAAGACACTTGAAATATTAAAAACACCAAGCTAATTTTAATAATAATTCCAAACAATCAGAGATAAAAAAGCGTCCAATAAAAATGAACAGTTGCATATCAACATAATGATAATACCAGCTTCATTATTCATTATGTGCATCACATAATGAACGCTGTAACAGTGGATCATATGCAATTATCATATTAGGTCTTTACCTATGAAATTGCCGTTTTGTATGCAATAAGTGAAAGTACTTAATTTTTCAAACTTTTTTATTACTGTCATTCGACGTAATCACCCATGCAATGGACGCATCTTTGCCAACACATTGGCAGTTTATTGATGCCCTTGTAAAAATCAGCTGGACGGGAGGCAACAAACTCTTCAAAGGCATTTTGTACTGCCTCTCGGGAATTGAATTTTTTACCCACTAAAAGGTGTCTAAATTTTAGAAAAAGTAATAGTCGGTAGGTGTAAGGTCAAGGTAATTTCATAGGTAAAGACCTATTATATTATCACAATATTTGTTGGGAATCGAACCCATAACCTCTGGCTTAGCAGTCAGGGTCGCCACACAATATACCACTACATAGTCTTTCCAAAATACTTATTGACGTTAAAAGCTACTTGGGTCGTCGGTAGACATTGGATAAAATCACAGTGAACAGTGATTTATCATTAGATTTTTGCGTACGTAGGTATAGATAGTTCAACTCAGTTGTGCGCGCGGCCCTATGTGTGCGTGGGCTTGTAAATATACAACTTTCAATCGTGTGGCAGTCGTCGTCCGACTTATAGATAGTTCAACTCAGTTGTGGCCGCGCGCACAACTGAGTTGAACTATCTATAAACCCTTACCTACATACGCGCGTTACTAGGTAGGTAGGTTAGGCCACTATTTAACAGTAAATCTAGTATTTTTTTAAATTATTATGTAGGGAATGGTAGCTATATATCATAAAATAATTATAATAAATAAATAAAAAAGCGAAATAGGGTCTGTATGCATCGTTTGAAAACAGTTTATTGACAACAACAAAGTAAGCAGTAACCCTAACCTACGAACGAACAAATCGAATGATAAGTCACCGGTCTTTCACAGCTGATGTGATTTTGTCCCATGCCTAGTCGTAGGACTCTGCAAATGAAACCATTAATTAACTAATCTTGAGTCCGTGTAGTGACGGATTAAGAATACGGAATGTCACCAGAACAACAGCACTGCAAAGAGAAGGCAAACTTGAAACAAACCCTATGCCAACCCGTCTGGCCAACGTGGTATAGTAGGCCAAAACCTCCTTTCTAAGGAGAGGCCTATGTCCAGCAGTGGACTATTATAGGCTGTTGATTGATTGATTGATTGAGTTCAAGTCTGTCCCCGACTCTTCTCTTTAGTCATCCGAAATTAAAGAAATCCTTTACTGGTAGACTTGTGTTTCAAAGACAAACACGGTATATTTAAATAAAGCGTACTTTTGTTTATATTCGCCAGTGCTGATGGCGTGAACCTCCGGTACCAGATCACAAACGAAGCCCCCACGGGGACTTGCGCAGTGCTCGTGACAGGCATGAAGAGGTCACTGTGTGCCAACCTCGCTGCTGCGCAGAAGTTCACCCAGGATCATCTAGCGAAGGCAGAATGCAAGAAGAGTATTCAAGCTGCTAAGTTCTTCTACTCTTCGGTAAGCTGTGGGATAGAATTTCTGTCTTTTTTGCAGTTTTTACGTTAGATGTTTCGGAATCGAACCTACCGTTTGATTCTTAATAATCTGCATCTTAACTACGAGAAAACACGAGTTTACAATCCACAACAGATGATGTTCTGAATAGTTCCAGACACTGGTGACCGTTTACCATCAGTTGGGCCGTGTTTTATTTAGTAACTTAGCCGTATTAAAAAAAACACCTAGTGTATTTTTGTCAGTTGTCAGATTGTTATCAAAAGTTATAAAATATTTATAAGACGACAGATATTTCTAGTAACGCCATCTGTTATAACGTAACGTAAACTGCAGGTCTTTGAGGTTTTTTAGTCCAAACACTATTAAGACTTACGACTGCACAAGTATTTATTTATGACACACAATACCTCTTTTTTACAGGTTATGTATCTAACACAAACGTGTAGCCATTCTTTGTTAAATGGTTAAATTTATGGTTTTACATTAATAATGATAATAACCTTACACATCCCATCCTTGGTTGGAGATTGGTCTTTCCTACTCTTTGTTTGAGTAATCAGTAAAATGAAAATGTATATTAAAAATATATCTCACACATCTCACGAACGGCCGTCTGATCCCAAACTAAGCAGAGCCTGTACTATGGTAACCAGACTGCTGATAAACATACTTATATATTTTTCAATAGATACATATAGATAAATTACACCCACACACAGAACAAATGACCGTGCTCATCATACAATATTTGTCTTGGGTGGGAATCGAACCCACGACCTCCGGTTTAGCAGTCAGAGTCACTAACCACTAGACCAACAGGCCCGTCGATCGATCGTATCGTATCGTCGATATATATATATATACTTTTTCTTTTCATTACAATAAAAATGTACGTGTTTACTTGCAGGGTTTCTTCATAGCAGTGTCCCCGGAGTCTATGTTGCAGTTAGCAGAGCATGCTCATAGCAACGGTCACATGTTCTCTATAAACCTGAGCGCGCCTTTCGTCTCACAGTTCTACAAAGACCCTCTGGAGAAAGTACTTCATTACTGTGATATTATTTTCGGAAATGAATTGGTAAGTTATGTTACAACTATGAATACTTACAATCCATGGATGCCATCAATTTAGAAAACAAAAATATACTTATCTGTGTTTAGGTAATCAGCCCAGACGGGTAGACGAATTTGAATTAAAAAAAACTAGTGTAGATATATATCAATTCAAAATAAAACTAATTATTATTGAATTAAAACGATTGTATTTTACTAATATCTTTATTCTTCTTTCTTTTCCTTCTTCAGTCTTTGATTAGTAATTATTAACCAAAGTTCGCTTTTTTATTGTATTAATTGATCCCGGAAATATGAATAGACTAAATCCACTATAACGCAAGCGAAGCTGCGTAAAAGCTAAGCTCATAGCTCAAGAATATCTAATGTTAACAGTCACATCAATTAGATAATTGTGACGACAGAATGGCGTAGTGGTTTGTGTAACGGACTGCTATTCCAAAGGTCGCGGGTTCGATTCCCGCTCAAGTCAAACATTTGTGTGCGTGAACATTTAATGTTTGATTTGGTCTGGGTGTTTCTATGTGTAATAAGTATGTATTTACAAAAAAAAAAAAAGTATATATGTATTTATATCAGTTGTCTAGTACCCATAGTACAAGCTCTGCTTAGTTTGGGACTAGATGGCGTTGTGTGAATGTGGTACAATATTATTTTCCCAGCAGCATTTATTTATAAACTAAAAATGATTACAGGAAGTAGAAGCTTTTGCAAAAGCCTTCAACATCACAGGGAGCTTGCAAGAGATTGCTCTCAAAATGGCGCAAATACCACAAACGAAAGCCAAGAGACCCAGAGTCGTAGTCGTCACCCAGGGGCCAGACCCCGTTATCTTAGTAGAAAATGGTGAAATTACATTGATCCCCGTACCAACACTGGAAAAGGAAGAAGTTGTGGACACCAACGGAGCTGGTGACGCGTTCACTGGTGGTTTTATAAGCCAGTTGATCTTAGGTAAGCCGTATAAAACATGTGTTGAAGGTGGAATTTATGGCGCTAGACATGTAATCCAACATTCTGGTTGTACGTTCACTGGCGAAAGCGACTTCAAACCTAGTAGCTAGAATGTTCGGGGTAATTATTCTGGACACATTGATTGGACGGACCATTCATTCCCGAGCTTTTTGAATTTAGAATATTGTTTGAGATGTTACAGTAAGCTGTAAGTGATAACTTTAAAGCCACTTATGGAACTTTCCATACAACGAGACGCTATACATCAGCGTCTTTTGTCTAAACGATATACAGTACAATAAAATATGTGTAAAAAAAATCCAACTTGCAACACGCTGTTAAACGCGAAAATGCTAAAAAAAAATAGTAGAATAAAAAAATAAGCCATTATTTAATAAATACATACGCGAGCATTTCCCTCTTTACGCCATTTTGGGTGTAAAACATTTTTTTAATTTGTCTATATTAATATTGATTTTCTGAGACCAGCTAAGTAGGTACATAATAAAATATAGATAGTATTTCAGCAATTTCAATTTTTTTTTATACATTGATGTACACTGTTCACACGTGTACTGGTATATCAGTGATTTATATTTTATTTGGCACTGATTACATCCGCATCTTTAAAAAAGTACGGTATTTGTGGCTTAAAGTTAGGTATCACATTCTGTTTTGTCCATGTGTCTTAGAAAATAATTGACTTAAGTTCTTCCATTAAGTAAAGTATTGTTTAAGTGCATAAAGACGCACAAAGACAGCCATCATCGTGTTAAGGCCTTATGTGTATAGATTATATGGTTTTATGTGTTATTGGCATCGAAAATGTTATGTGATCTGATTAGTATATCATATTACCCTCTTAAACGCCAAAACTATTGATTCTAACATGCGGTTGCATAAATAAAACTATATCGGAAAATGAATTAAGACTGGGAACCAGGTGGCAACGCCATCTATTGGGTACTATTGTGAATCTAAACCAAAGACACACTCAAACAAAAATCATAATTTAACACGTTTAAGAAATTTTAACAAAATAAAAGAGTTTTAGAAAACTGTATGTGGCCTCGACCTATAAGTTTAATTATTGCTCATTACCGCTAATAATAGTACCTATGTGTGTAATCTTAGATTTTGTCTAGAACTGCAATATAAAATGTCTCGAAATATAATAATAAGTGACGCAATATGTATTTGCTTTAGATAATAAAATTATTAGTTGTGTTGTAATCCTCTCAGACTACCCACTTGATTGATGTCAACTAATTATCAAATTTATAGTTAATGCGTTCAATATAGAATACAGTCATTGTACAGAGTTTTTTAACTGGGGTATTACTGTGAAAGTCAAAATCATTGTAGATATAAAATATCAATTTTACCGTAATTCATCATTTAGCTGTCAATTCTGTTTCATTAAACAAATACTTAATATTAATTTTTATATACACCAGAATGTATTCCACTAATTAATTTATTGTTGAAATGCTTATTGTTAAATCATCATAATGTTTACAAAGTACTTTTTAAGTAACTCTTTATCTGTGGATTTGAATAAAATATATATGCACTGGCCCTTTAAAAAAAAAACAATATCAGTACTTATCGCAGTTTAAGCAATAAAACCTGGTAAAATAAAATATTGATTAAAGATGTGTGGCTATAGTCACTTGTGTATTGTTGAGACGCTTTATGGTATATTTTCACGCTTGGCAAGTTTCGACAAGTGCCTACAAATACAAGCGTGTGAACGGGATGTTTGGCTAGGCTTGAGTGAGCTTGTCGTCCATCAGGGCTAGTGTCGGTTGTTGAACACAGATCAAAAGAAGCTTGCGGCAAGCGCTTGCGACAGATTTACAATCATGTTGCCGCTTGCTTGTTCCCCATTGCTCAATTAGACTGCTCAACTTGATAATAGTTAAACAGACGGGAATCAACATTGATTCCCAATACTGCTCTACTGGTTTAGCAGTAGGGCTAGAGGATTTTTTTTTTATTTATCCACGTGTTTAGTGTCGCTGTTAATATTTTAAATGAAAAAATGTTAAGCCAAAGGCAATAGCAGACCAACTTCGACGTCCTCGTCTGCTATGTTTGCCTGTCCGGAACACACTAACACATTAGCAAGCGTATAAATAGCATCCGAGCGTTTGTAAGGCGCGGGGTTCTCTAACCGTTGTTATGTCGCCGGCGGCGGACAGAGCATTTCTCAGCCAACGATCTAGGGGGGGGGGCTGGGACACCCACCCCGGCCGGCAGTTTCAGGGGCTGCCAAAATCACAATAAAATACGGTTTAAAATGAAAAGAAAAAATAAATTACTTTATAAAAACATTATGTTATCTTAATAATCATGAAAAATCGTATACCCAGGGCTGGCATTGCCGTACATAGTATACGAATGCCACCGGCCATGGATCGGTGTTCCCTGACACGCGACCGACAGTCAGACAACCCCGCGTCGAAAGGCTTGGAGCTTATGGACTCAAGCACGCAAGCGTGTAAATTTGTCATTAAAATGTAGCGGCAGGACGCTCCTTGAAAACAGGCCCCTATCAGATGGTTGTCCGAAATACATATGTGATTAAAATCCTACATCTTTAATTAATAAGCAAATGTATATTTATAAATTTATGTATCACTTTGTCAACGTTGTCAGCATAACTGATAATAAAATAAATGGTGACAAGTTCACACTTGTCATCATTACTGTACATTAATCACGTATAGTGAGTACCAAAAGTACATGTGTTAATTCCTTGCGTTCATTTCAGTATGGATGTCCTACCTCGAATAACTCATAACTGTAATAGTATTAAACATAGATCTGATAACAATTACGTTCTAAACGAATATCAGTGAATCGAAATTCCGAGTAATTATAATTTAAGATAGTGCTGATTGTGTTTGTACAATGTAGCGAGCGGTCGAGCTAAGCGAGCGAGCAGAGCGAGCGTCGTTTCACCGCTTTTCATATTTCGGTTCACATCGTGATCTACAGAGCTAAGCTACGCTAACGAGGTATCGGATATCTGACGTAGCTTATCTCTGTAATTCTGGGTATGAACCGAAGTATAAAAAGAGGTGGCTCGCTCGCTAGCTAGTGTGACCTGCGCTTAATGACCAGTGTGAAATTATCACCGCAATACATGTTTTTAAATCATAAGAGTAGGCAATTGTTAAAAGCAAAAGCATTGAATTCTGAATGCCAAAAAATACTTCTTTAATTAGATCTTTAATAGATGCATGTATTGTACTAACATATGAACCAATTAAAATGTGACTGATAATAACTGTGGATGATTGATATGTTGATATTATATATTTATGATGTTTTTACTAAACTGCTGTTCAGTTAACTATTTTGTATTAATAAAATATTTATATTTAAAATTACTTGTATAGAAATGATAATGCTGTCCCTTTAATTGAGTGCTGTAAATCTGTTTTTCTGATCTGTTTCATATGTATTTTTTTTATTTGACATGTTCTTAAACCTCCTTTTTGTATGTACTATTCATACTAATATTACAAATGCGAGAGTGAGTCTATCTGTTACCTCTTCACGCTTAAACCGCTGAACCAATTTAGATTAAATTTGGTATAGAGATAGTTTGAGTCCCGGGAAAGGACATAGGATAGTTTTTGTTCTAGAAATTATGCTTTAAAGGGCTGAAGGTTTGTATGGGGAATCAATAACCCCTGAACCAACTCAGACGAAATTTCTTATGGAGATAGATGGATTCCTTAGGAATTCCTTCCTTCTCTGCATAATTTTTTAACAATGACAATAATAATTGTATTTGTCTTAGAACATGTTAATAAACTATTATGTTTACTTTTTTTTAATCTCTTGCCACTGATAGCAATAAACGATAGGCAGTAATTAATTATAAATGTTACAAATCTTATATTCATAGGTAACATTAGATGCCTTAGTTAGTACATCATAAACAATACATTGTTATTGTTATGTTATTCATATTTTTAAATTATTAACAAAAAAATAGTTGAGTAAAAATCAACATTACTTCAACTAAAACAGTTTTGTATAGAATTCCTATAATATAAACTATTAAAATGTCAAAAACTACAAATATATATTAGTAATGTCAAACATTAGTTATTTTGTCAGTCAGTAAGAAAGTCATAATAAAATTCTGTAATAAATAATATTCTTAATAAATAATGTCTGTATTCTATAAACATTTATAGATCTGTGATTGTGAACTGTAACACAAACAATCCTAAACAGTTATAAATAAAAGAAAAAACCTTATTTTGGCTATGGTTATTGCAAACAAACTGCAAATACAATAATCAACAAGACTAAACTTTATAAATGTCAATTTAAAACAAAATGATCTTTGTATCTAAAAGTATGAGTCAAATTCATAAAAACTGAAGTAAAACTTCTTGGCTATGAGAGAAAGATAATGTGTGCTCGCACCTCTGTCTCTGGTCCCTACAGTAATATATGAAACGTAACTCTCTTTCTATCTTCACTAACTTATATCTCCCTCTCAACTTCCGTTCGCTTTGTCTGATCACACTTTTCGTAACGCTTCCGTCACGCATTCACCATCGTAATCCCCAAGTCAAGCGTGCGTTAAGAAGTTTTACTTCAATAATATGCTCAATTTTGGTAAAATATTTAGTTATCAATTGTTTTTTTCATTGTTCACATACACAATAGAGAATCTTACAATATGCACTTCCCAATTTGGTACTTTTTCTTCATCACCTAATAGAGGCATGCATCTGTAGTTTTCTAATATTATAAAATCATGGAAGTTATATGGTGGCTTCTTTAGTTTTCTAGCAGCATTCCTCTTCAAAGCGTAAACAGACTTAGCTACACTTCTAACTTTGGGTGCCCTGGAAATTGTATATAAAACAGTTGTAATGTACTTATGTTTGTAACTTTTTTGTGTAATAAAGATGTTTTGTATCACTATTTTGATTTTTAATTTAATCAATTGTTTCTAAAAGCATGTAACATAGTGGCTTATTTTTTAATTTTGGAACAAGCCTTTAATACTTCTCTGCTCATTGACGTTACAAATCACTAAGGACCACTATGGAAATACCTTATTTTCGAAATGGACTTTCGATTCTTCTTGTGTCTGTTGAAACTTTTGATGAAATATACCTATTTAATGGAAGAAAATAATTTTACCTCATCTCGTAAGCAGTAAATGATATATAATTTCATAAGATTGAATAAAAATAGCTTCCATCCAATGAATTCAATTATAAAGTTTACGCCTCGTGTATTATTGTTACCAGTGAAACATGATAGCTCTTAAAAATATCTAGTATCAAATATGGATCCTAACTTGTAAACAATTTATGAAATACCCGCTGAATCGGGAAAAAATATCACTAAGCCATAGACTAACCATAGACATAAAATTTAACAAACTGTATCTGATCTTTATATTATAACGGTGCTGCCTACTAAAAATAGTAAGTTAGCATTTTCGAAAGTTTCTTAACGTACTTCTTACTATGATTATAACACTAGATGATTTCAGGATTAAATCTTTCTCTTTTAAACCTTATATATAATAAATTAGTTACTTTGAAAACCGGTGCTCAATAAACCGCATATACATTAGAAATTGGTGTATCAGTATGCTGAACAGATACACATATAATGGTATATGAACATAATATATGTAACAGGAGAACATAGATTAGTTTAATGAAACAATTAAAAAAAAAAAAAACACCAATGCTGGTCAGAGCTGGTCCTTAAACCAGAACCATAACGAATAAATCTAGAAAAATGCCCATTAATTAAAAGCCATCAGTTTGATATCTATTGTCAATAGCTGGTCGAAAAATCTCTGAACTATATAATTTGGACAAAAATTATTAATTAATGGTTCAACAGGTTCACGGAAGTAGATGAAAATATTGTAACTAAAACTGTTTCTTAAAGTCAAGTAAGATATTGAAAAACATTAGACAACTGCATAATAGCCTTTTAATCAATACTGTTTCAATGATCAGTAAATTAAATCTAAGATCCTAGTAAGCAATGACCTTATAAAACACTAGATATTGTACTCCTTGCCACACCACCACAACCACAATGCTGAGTATTGATTTGCTACAATTTTGACGAGCTATTGAGTTTTGGAGGACTAAGAATTCTTTGATGCATTAGTGACTAAAACAACATAATCCTTTATTCAATTGTTAATTTAATCACAATAATTAACAATAGGCGTACCGTAACATTTTTTTAACTGATCCTGCGGCAATTGCCAAGTACTCTCTGGTCCTCTGAGCTGTGTGCGAACGCGTTGTGCAAATGGGTGAACATAAGGCCCGAAGACATCTTCAACGTAAGTTTCAGCGTTCATATTGCCATCTACAAAAACGAGCTCAGTTCGTCTGTACTGCAAAATACCCGCCCATACCATCACTGTGGAGCCACTGTAAGTGTGCACTTCCTGGACGCATCCGCCTTACAGCATTTCTGGGAAGACGATATGAAATACATTCTTACCCTTCTCGTATCAGACCTAAATCCACACTGGGACTCGTAGCAAAACAAAATTTTATCCCATTACTCCTGGGTCCATGTCAAATGTTCCGGACACCATTCTTTTCAAAGGGCGCGACTCCCATGGCGCGTAGGTGGGCACCTTATTTTGGGCGTCGTGTTCGTAGGCCGTATTCGTGCAGTATATTTCTTACGGTTTGGTGGCTAACAACAACACCACTTGAGAATTGCTGACGTCTTGTAGTCAGTTGTATGTATCGGTCCTGTCGAGCAGTTCTACTCCTTCTACGTCTTAGGTTCTGCTCTGTATTAACATAACGCTACCAAAGACGATAAATCACGCTCCTATTACGACCCAAATTCCAAAAAACCTAGGACTGATTTCTGACCGCTAGCCCCCTGCCCGCGATAGCATCCCTGCGGCTCTCTGCATTACATCAGTAGTCAAATGGCGTCGCTCCATTTTATGACATAAAAGATGACTCACCATTAAATTTTTTCAAAAACTGTATATCTCAAAATGATAAAAGTGAGACAAATACCAAATTCATCAAGCAATGAACACACATGAAATCGGGCAAACATAATTTGCTTTTATTTTAATAAAAACAAAACACGATCTAAAAATTTCTATTTTTAAAACAAGCTAGTATATGTTTCGTGTCTATTCAAGAAGTCGTCATGTTTAGACTTTTTTGATGTGTGTATTCATAAAAAATGTTACAAAATATAAGTAATTCACCAAAACCCTAGTAGACGAAACAAAAACGTCTGGATGTGGCCCAGTATGCTACCTGATGCACGTTAACAGCATCTCTTTTTAACGGGGCTCAACCCTCCCCCACGCTCACCACTGTAACTCCTGCACACCAGGATCAATGGCAGTGACCAACGAACACACCGAGATATGACACTCTGGAACTCCCAGGAAATTAACTGTCTTGGAACCCGCAACAGTAATTAGTAACCCTAACCTACGTACGAAAAAATCGAATGATAAATCACCGGTCTTTCACAGTTGACAATGATTTTTTCCATGCCTAGTTCAAATATGATCTAATTATAATTATAATGGCAATACAATGTGACGGACAGGATATCAAAATTATTTTTTAACTAGGCAATCTAATTGATAGCCATTTTGAAGAGCCTTTTGTTGGTGTTTTGTGAATGTTTTCAATAAATTTTGTAATATTTCTATGATATGAAAGTGTATTTAAAGCATACATCTCATTGATATGAGTAAATATTGAATCAAGTTACAAATAATTGTAGTGTTGTTTGTTTGGTGAAGGCGCATTGTGATATAAAAAAACCGGAAAGAACTGTGCCGTATTTTAGTTTTGTGAAAAAAATCTCTCTAAATAATCGTTATTTGTATGACAGTAGGTTGATTATTTGCTACGGACGTTGTTGATAAGTTGAATAAGATCACTAAAACAGTCGTTATTATTTACGTCGCGTGTTTTGTTCGCTACGTAAAATTTAGATCGCCACAAGATGGCGGACGTCGAATGCCCGCTCCGCCAAAACTCGCTCGCGGGGCCCGATGTGTCATCGGGTTGCGAGGGCTTCGGTGACATGCTGTAAACCGGCGTCTCGCACCGCGACCAATATTACCGGTCGCATACGGCGAGGTTCCATTTCATAAAATGGAATTTCGCTCGAGGCGCCAAAATACGATGGGTGTTGACATAAATGCAATACCATACCGTTACTCAGGCGGCAGTACGTAATAACTATTGACGAAGATGTGCGATCCAGACGATGTCGGCAAAGATGTGTGGAAGCGATGGATCCTAGAAGCTATACATAAAATACGCTCACAGAAGCAAAGGCCAAGTGTTGAGAGGATATGTCACGCTATCAGACAGCATCACAACTATCATGAGGATGTGGTGTCGGAGCGTCTAGAGCTGGCAGTACGCGAAGGGGCCGTTCTAAAGGTATATAACAAGGGCCAGAGCTCTTACAAGGATCCAGGTGGACTGCAAAACAAGCTTCTAAGAATAACGCAAGATGTGGACCTTTCTAGGATTGTTGCGAAAGCAGTGCGCGAATTAGGTGAACGTGACGGTTCTACGTTAAAAGGGATTGAAAAACATTTGTATACAGCTTACCAAGTGTCAGTGGAACCTGATGTGGATGTGCGTGCAGTGTTGCGTGCGGCGGCCAAACGCGCAGTAGCCAGAAGTCTGTTGACACACCATGGTGGTTCTTACAAGGCAACCGAGAGACCTCTCAACACATCATCATCAGACCGTAGCACCAAGCAGCGGCCCAAATCAGCACTGGACTCCCCTGAGAAGGTAAGTGCACTCAAGTGTACAACAAAGTTTGTTTACATTCCCTTGTCAGGGTTGTGGTCTTTAGTTCTTATCTGACTTCACTCTGTTAGTAAACAATTGATAAACAACAACAAACCAATTCACTACTTAATCCCTGTTAAATAGTTTTAACTGACTTAAATGTAATATGTTCTGTAATTAAGTAACAATTTTTTTCATCATTAAATGTTTAATAAGTTATTTACTACAAGAATTTCATTCACAATATTTTAACTTTTTGGTCTGTTTCCTTTAAGTACTAATAAAATGAGTTTTAATGAATATATTAGTATTTAATAAACATAGAATAGCTATATAAATATATCATGTCTTCTATTGCCATTATTTAAATGGAGAGTTTATTAAAGAGGTTTAATATCCAATTATATTAAATGATACTAATTTATTCGTGGCCAAATCAAGTGTATCAAAATCATAGATTATAAATTATGGCCTGTTCTAAATGAGTAGCAATATGTATGGATTGTAATGATGTTGTTGACCTGCTATTAATGTTCAAGGCTAACGCTGTCACAAAAAGTGCCTAATATGAAAAAAGTTATCAATTTTATGAATCATTCTATCTTATTCAACACAATTATTGTATCTATGTTCACATTTAAGTTTACATTAAGTAGGTTTATAGAAAATTGTGGGAGTACTAATAATGTTTGTTTTGTTCACAATTTGTTATATACGTAATTACCAATTGTACCTTTGCTCTATTATAAAGGATTTTGTATATCACATGTAACTGTATATGTACTTATCAAAACTTATGGTTTATTGAGTATTTTATTTACTTTTTTCTTCTTAAATCTTATCTATCTATTAAAAACTAAGCAGTGATCTGTTTTCAAATCCACTTATTGACTGCTTATGATATTAATTAAAAAAAAAGATAATGAAATTTTTTTTTAAAAAAGTTGTGGACCAAAGATTTATGTAATATTTATGTAATATATACAAACATCTAGGGATTGATAACTCAGGGTATTTTGTAATTTAGTTTAATCTGTGCAGAACTTTTTGGGTTTTTGAAGCATAAACAAACCAGCTTAATATTTTTATATGTGTAGATTGTTGATATATTTATGTGAAAATATTTATTAAATTATAAAAATCAAGCAATGTTTTGGTGGTATACATGCAGCAAACTTATATGCTATGTTTAAAAATATTTATAACATCCATTGAACTTAGTAGTGAGTGACTCGTATTAAAAATTTGTCAGTTTTCTTAGTAGAGAGCTCCATGACTCAGAAAATATCTGAAGCTATTCTTTAAGTAAAACCTGTTTCACAACATTTAACAATATTGAATCATGTTGAATAAAAAACATGTTGTGGCCTTGTTGATGGATAAAGAATACGGAGGGGTGTCTAAGGGAGCAAACTCTGCAGGATAACAGCACTGCAAAGAGCAGGCAAACTTGAAACAAACCCTATACCAACCCGTCTGGCTAACATGGTATAGTAGGCCAAAACCTCCTCCCTAAGGAGAAGACCATCTTCAGCCTATTAAAGGCTGTTGATGATGATGATCATAAAATAATAATTTTAAAAAGCCATGAATAACATTAATTTTGATCTGAAATTATGGCCTTTATAGGATATATTATAGAAATATAAAATATTTAAGTTTTATTTAAAATCTAAACCTATTTCAAAAATATTTTTTGAACATGTAAAAAGATTTGGTTTAGTTTGCAACAGATCTGTAGATGCCATTATAGAAGCATACTACATAATTCTACAATTCTATTCTATTCACACTAATTCTAAAATTATTAACATCCTAAATAATCTATTATTATTATTATTCACATGTTTGATTTTTTGACATGTTAACCAGATTATAATGGCCACAGTTAAAATACCTAATGTTAAAAAAGCATCAAATTATAACTATTATATGTAATACATACATTCATGTTATATCCTCCAAAGGGATGGGTAGAGGCGTTACCACCCATATATTGTGAACTAAAGTATTTAAAAAAATATGGATGGCATCTGGAGTGCAAATAACAGGTCAGGTTTTTTTACTTTTGCACTAAAATCTGAGCTTTAATTATGTGAACATAAGTCTCAAAATAGTAATGTCTCTAATGGACTATAGAAACATCAGGAGCTTGTAGACTCTTTGTAAGATAGATAATTAACCAGGTTTGATAGTGAGGGCATATCAATAACACATCCCAGTTGATTTCTATGAATAAATTTGAACCAACAGACATTGAGAACCACAACAGTATAAAACTTCCGCATTAAGAATATATCGGGGACTTTACAAACATACATAAAATGGACATAAAGAACACCCAGACTGAGAACAATAATTATTGGATCACACAAAGTGTCATCCCATTTGGGGTTCTAACCCACAACACAGCATAGTAGGAAGCCGGGTGGCAACCAGTTAAACCACTACTCCATCCATGTCAGTTATTCTTAATAAGTTGTTTACATAATTCTCTGTTTAAAAACTTACTAATTAATTTGCACAACTGTTACTACTGCTTTTTAACAATTCTCAGAAGCTTCAGAATATAATGGCGCACAAATATTTATTTATTTTCTTTTTGTTTTCATAGAAACCGAATCAAGGAGGAGTGCCTGTGTGTACTGAGTGCCTTGGAACTGATGCAAGAAATAGATTAGGTGCAGTAGAATCTTTGATCTGCTGCCAGCAGTGCAAGGTGTATGCACATCCAACATGTCTCAATCTACTGGATAATAATGAAATACCAGTTTTAAAAGTAAGTAATAGAACCTATTTCAACAGTAAATATTTACTAGTCTGGAGTTCAGATCACACCAGTTATGAAAACACAGGCCATGCCATGTTGTACTTCTCAGACAGGTCCCTGTCTGAGAAGACTTGACCAGTGAAAACAGGCTACTTAATACTGGCATAAAAAGACAGTTGATTATCCCATTCGTCCTCAGAGGTTTTATATGGTGGTATAATACAAAAAGTTATAACTTAATTATAGTTAACTCTAGTCAGTTTGTATGCTGTATTAATAAATATATTATTTGCCCTTAATTTGTAACAACAACAAAGTCTATTATACTGATATGTAACTCTGGATTGGATTTTGATAATAATTAAATATACCTTTATTTACATGATGACCTTTGTAGTCTCGACCACTGGCGTCAGAATAGATCGTGCTTTGCAATGCTTAAGGTCGATGTGTATGTTGCAGTCTGTTGGATGGTCGTGCGGCTCTTGCGCGTGGTGCGATGTGTGCTCGCCGGGCGGGGGCGGCAGCGAGAGCTCTGGATCGGGCTCAGGCTCGGGCTGGGTGTCGCGCTGCGTGGCGTGCTCCAGCCACGCGCATCCTCGCTGCGGAGAACCGCCCTGGCGCTGCGACCACTGCCTCAACCTCGCACCCACTAACAAGCGGTACGTGGCGTTTTCAACTAACGCAGGAGGCCTCATCTTTCGTTTCAATTTTATATATGACATTTATTCTGTTTGCAGATCGTCGGTGACGGGTACGCCGCGCGGCAGGAAACCTCGCACCCCAGCCCGAAAACCGGAAACCGACGACGAGCCTTCCGACGGTAATGGACCGACGCTCACGCGACCCGAACAGAGAATGTCCCGAGAGAAGCAGAAATTCTTCAGATTCTCCGCTTTTAACTTAGTGAAGCGGCGCCGGCGCCGATCGTCCTCCGAGTGGGAGGGGTGGGGCGGAGTTAGGGTCACTCGAGTGCAGAGACTGGAGCTCCGGCTCGAGCGTCGTCCCGCCTCCCCCCGCGACACCATCTCCACTCAGTCCAGTACGCTCTCCACCCCCTCGCCCCTGTCGCCCGTCTCGCCGAGTTCCGCGTCGCCTTCCCCCAGCTCTCGCACCTCGTCCAGTGAGGCCGAGCCGTCGGCCCCTGCCGCCGTTTCGACGGTGTTCGAGCGTCTGGCTACAGACGAAACACCCGGCGGAGTGTGGGGCTTCGCCGCCGAGGCGCAGAAGCAGCGAAGGCTCGAGCCCGAAACGCGCCCGCCGCCCGAGCGGCACAGAGTCGCGAGACGTCGTAGCCGTTGCGGGGAGAGGTTGCTGACGACTCTGTTCGACGGGCTCTCAGAGTTTTATTCGGTGCGAACGGCGTCACGATCGCAGTCCCGTCCGCGCCCCACGCGACCTCCCGAGCCCGAGGAAGACCGCACCGTGCTGAAGGAAACGAGGAGCACCTTTCGACGATACCAGGCGGAGTTGCGGCGTGCGCGAAGCCGAACTAGGGAACCTGAGCCTAAACCTGAACCGTCACCTGTCTCGGAGGAGGAACCGGTCGTTCGAGCCAGATCGAGGAGTAGATCTCGACCACGACCGGACGCGCGAGTGATAAAGGCCGCGGAGGTTCGAGGTCTCAGCGTAGACCGTAGTCCGATTCGTAGAGAAAAGGAGATAGTGGTAGAGGAACCGCGGCTATCCGCATCGCAGCTGGTTAGGACCGCAGCGGTGGGCAAGCACCGGACGGTATCGGAGGACTCGGAAAAACTGTATCGCGGCTTAGCTTTGGCGGGTCGGCAGGCCGGCGTCGGAAGGCCGGCCACCAATCAGACGGGTAAGATCGGTTCGTGGGGTGCGGTGAAAGTGTCGTAGTGGATCTGACCGACTCGCTCTGATTGCTGGCCGGCGCTCCGCTCTCGCGTCGTTTCGTTTCTCTAACTCTGTTCGGGACGGGTGAGTGAGCCGCGAGCTCCCGGTACTATTTGCTTCTCCATTCGGACACCGAGCGCCGATGACAAAACATTTGTTACTCGGGTTTCGGCAGTATCCACACATGCACTTTCGCTCGCGCCTCTGGCAGGCGTGACACCACGAGACCCGAGCACTCGCATCTCTTGAGGCCTCGTGCCAGACGTGCGGGTACTCGGGAGCGACTTGCTTTAGTTTTACTTGCCGTATTCCCTATTTATGTTCTGTGCCTCCTTTTCGTTTGTACTTATTAAGCGAATTGATCTGACTACCCGCCTTTTTTATTATTTTTATTGCCTTTTTATAATATTGTTCTTAGATAGAGTTGTCAAAGAAATGATTGAATATTTTTTGTGGGTATATGTTGAAATAATTTTCCAAATAGTATTTTGTTCAACAGAAATACTTGGCAAACGAGAATTTTTAAATATGATTTCTTCTGTGTGCATTAAATATATCTATTCTATAGTATTTGATATATTTATGTGAAAATATTTATTAAAATTTCTAGCGCGATCATAATACTGCTATTATAGTGTGATCATTACTCGATCAGTAATCGAAGACACCCATAGCATTGAGGTTTTAATCAAAATATTACGTATTTGCATCACAGTAAAATAAATTAATTTATTCTGAACATCAAAATATTCAGTCGACGTTGTAAATTTTACGAGTTATTTTAAAATTCTATATTTTGGATATGGTGATATTATTATAAATTACTATTTGGAATTTTTAAAATATAACCCGTATATTACTAATAAATTTGTCCTATAATCGATAGATACATTAAGCGCTTTATATGTTTTTTTTAAACAGTATATGGTTTATCGTTCGGTGTGGTATCTCCTAGCGTTTACATATCCCTTATTAATAATATTGAAGCGACAGACTGACCGGTGAACGGTGACACGTAGACGAGTCGTGAGTATAGAGGTTCGGTTGCGTGTGGCAGAGGGCTGTGCGGCGGCGCCCCCGGCGGGAGTGGGCGCGGGCGACGCGGCGCTGTTCAGCGCGGCGCTGGCGGCGGCCGGCGCAGACCAGCCGCACGCCGCCGCGCCCGCGCGCTGCCCCTCCGCCATACAGTTCGGCCAGTGGGAGATCGACACCTGGTACTCCAGCCCCTTCCCGCAGGAGTACGCGCGGTACGGACCTTCCTTTGTTTCTGTGTATTCATTTTACTACTGTTTTTATGTTACTGTAATTATGTCTGTCCGTGTGGTGACAGATTTAGAATACGGAGTGTCGCCACCCCTATTCGTGCCGTGGGTCTCGTAAGAGCAGACCGAGGCAGCGAACCGTGCAGGACGAAAGAACTGCAAAGAGAAGGAAAACTTGAAACGAACCCTATGCCGACCCCGTCTGGCCAGCGTCCAAAACCTCCTTTCTAAGGAGAGGCCTATGACCAGCAGTGGACTCTTTTAAAAGCTGTCGATAATGATGATGATGATGATAATAATAATAATAATGTCATTGTTGTACTTGTTTTTATATTCGTGGTAATGAATGCGATCGCCACGATCTGCAGATGTGGGAGGATAAGGCATTAAATCCCAAACCGGTAGTAAGCAGAGCCTATACTGATAACCAGACTGATAATAACATATTGAAATATAACTAATTAAAAATATAAATAAATGACACCCAGACGCATCAAATGACGTGCTCGGTACACAGTTATTTATCCCGAGTGGGAACCAAACAGTTCTAACTGGGTAATCAAGACGTTATTTCTTTATACCTTTGTTAATATCTAATAAAATATTTGTTAATTTCAGACTACCGAAACTATTCCTATGCGAGTTCTGCTTGAAATACGCAAAAAGTCGAGCGGTGTTGATGCGTCACCTGGACAAATGTCTCTGGCGACATCCACCGGCCACAGAAATATACCGTTGCGGAGACATATCAGTCTTCGAAGTAGACGGCAACGCCAACAAAATTTACTGTCAGAACCTGTGCCTCCTCGCGAAGTTGTTCCTGGATCACAAAACACTGTATTATGATGTCGAACCGTTCCTGTTTTATGTGTTAACGAAAAATGACAGCAAAGGATGTCATCTAGTGGGCTACTTCTCCAAAGAAAAACATTGTCAGCAGAAGTATAATGTTTCATGCATCATGACGATGCCGCAGTACCAGAGACAGGGCTTTGGACGATTTCTCATCCATTTTAGTGAGTGGTGAAATCTTTAATACATTTATACTTTTATACTGCCTAAAAATTCGATAAATATTCGCCTCATAACACAAAAAAATATTCTACCCTAACTTATGGATAACTTCTATTTTATCTTATTAAGACCACAAAATTAAAAATCTTTTTTACTTGATTACATGAGATTTGTCCCCAAATTCGTGCGGTAATTGCTGTTAGAAATTATTTTGTGAGTATTGTAATAATATGTTTTGTTGTTTTCAGGTTATTTGTTATCGAAAGAGGAGGGACAGCCAGGTACACCTGAAAAACCTCTATCAGATCTTGGCAGAGTATCTTACCATGCGTACTGGAAATCTGTAATACTTGAATACCTCTATGATCATAAAGATAAATCATTCACTTTTGAAGATATCGCACACACTACAGGGATGCATATGAATGATATTGCTATAACATTTCAGTTGTTAGGCTTTGTAAGATATATTCCTAATAAAGAATCAAGCAAATTAGGACTTTGTATAGACTGGAACAGAGTTGATAATCACATGAAGAAAGTAAAGAGTAAACCTAGGCTTGAGATTGACCCCGAGTGCTTAAGATGGACACCATTATTAGCTCCGACTGTAAATCCGTTTAGATCGCCGGAAGAGGCTTCTGGAGTTGACCAGGACACTGAAAATGAGGAGTTGAAGACTGAAAGTGAGGATACCGCAACTGAAAACGAGGTTCCGGTAGCCAAAGAAGACTCTAAACAAAAGGTTACAGAAAAAGAAAATTCTGAAACACTTGTTGAAGTGACTTCTTCTGGTAGAAGACGAACGAGACCCTTGAAATATAGTGAGAGCACCTATCAAACTACTCCAACACTTACTGAAGGCAACAGAAAGAGAAAACGAGATGTCAACAGAAAGATGTCCGAAAGTAACTATGATGAGGATAAGAGTAAAGAGGATGAGACACCCAGAAGACAGAGAAGTAAAAGTGTTGCTAGAAGATCATCCAGAGTTACCCAGAATGAAATTTCAGAAGACGTTGCGCCTACAAGTAGAAGACAGAGTATTAGGGAAGCAGCTTATGGTTCTGACAGTCAAGATAGCCAGATAAGCATGGATGCGCCCACGCCAGCAGTTAATAACGTAAAAGCTAGGAGTAAAAGAAAAATGAAATGGAAAGGTCGTCCCAAGAAGAAACAAAAGATCAATAAAAATTCTGCTCGAACTTCCTCGCCTGCAAGTAAAAAAGCTAAACTTAATGAAAGCAACACAGTGGAAGTTAATGACTACAAAACTGACGACTCTATAGAAGATGCCTCTAAACCTCGGGAGGTTGAAAACGAAAATGTTGCTCCACAAAATGAACAACTCATTGAAGAAAAAACTCAAGAAAAAAGTAAAAATTCGGAAGCTAGTTCTGAAGACTCTTCAGGGGAGGCAGACGATGAGATGGATGTTGAAGAAGGAGAAGAAAGAAAACCAGTTAGTAAACCAGCGTCGCCGAGACATGTTGAAGAGAATAGCACTGACCATCACACTAGTGACATGGAACTTGATAGCATTCATATGGACTCACCCAAGTCTATAGCAGAAAAAGACCAAGTTATTAAAGAAGCTAATGATAAACCAGACGATGCTGTATCACAGAGTAGAACAGAAGAATCATTAGAAAAACCTGAAGAAGATACTAAAGTAGCATCAGATGAACAACCTGAGACGGAAAACCCGTCTGAGCCAATGAATGGTGAAATGAAATCTCCAACAAAACCAGTATTAGATGATAAGGATACTATAATTATATCTGAATCAGATGATAATAACAGTCAGAGCTGTCCTTTGCCATCACCTAAACCAAATGTAGTAGCCCCAGTGCAACAAAATAATGAAAATAAACCTAAAGAAGTTGAAGAAAAGGACAGTCCATCTAAACTTATACCCGTTGTATCAACAGAGAATGCCCATATTGTTTTAGACCCAAAAGTACAAGAAGAAGTAAACACAATCAGGCCACCAGTAGACTTGATCGTCCCTAGAACCAATCAAATTGAAACTATAGTTGTCGAAGGCGAATCTGATACTGCACATTCGCCGAAAACAGGTTTATCACCAAAGAAAAATGATAAAATGGTGATAAATGAGTCTCCCAAACCAAAAAAATCGCCGGAAAGTGTCAACTCCGATGTATACTGCGAGCAGAAAAAATGTGATGTTAGGAAAGAAACTGTCATACAAAACCAAAACACTGAGGAAGTCAAAAGTTCCGAAAAGAAATCACCAAATAAAATAGAATCAATCATTCAAAATTTAGATTCTCAAAGAGATTTAGTATCTAATACAAGAAAACCCGACCCCGTTAAAATAGATAGCTTTATTGAAGTTGATAATAGAAATAAATTAACAAATCCAATTGTAGCTAGGGAAAGTGAAATTCCATTTCGAAACGACTTAATGAATAGGAAAGATGAGATCGTAATAACCAGAAACATAATCGAACAACCGTCTCCGTTACAAACCTTTCAAAACCCAGTGTCAAACTCCATGACGATACAGCAGATAAATACAGCTCAGCACTCTTTTTTGAATCACAGAGCGAATGTCACAAAAGAATCTCAAGCCGTACAGACAGACAAAATTTTAATAAAGACTAGCGAACAGAACCGTGTGATAAACAACAGTTTAGACCCAACGCCTGTTATTAGTAAAAGTACGACGAAGTTAGAAGTGCCACATCCTATATCCTCACCAGTGATAAACCCTGTTATACCAAAAGTACCAAATGTTACTGATATAAATTTTTTACCCCGGTGTCAAAGCGCTAACGCTGCGGTCAACATCGGTCTGGACAGGGCGGATTTAGAAGCCAGCTTTGCAAACAGTAGCGCACTACAAAATTCATTGAGTGGGTCCATGAGCATCGTCCATAGTAACACTCAAGATAAGAACGACCTGAATCAAAAGCCAAGAGAGAAGAGTAAACTGCGAGACGTGAGAGTGAATTCCGCTCACAGTAAGTTGGAGAAAACTGACAAGAAAAATAAGAATGATACGCCGAGGAGCACGCCTGAACCGAAGATGTTTTTTCCAGACCAAAGTAACACGAGGAAGCCGGAGACATCAGTCCCAATAAACGTAATCAACTCTTTGCCGGTCACGAGCAAAGTTGAAACAAAACCCACAAACGAAGCTCCCAAAAAGCAGGATTTTTTTAAGAAAGAAAAATCGAACGCATCCAAGTGTGACTCCAAGAGCGCTTCGGTCAAACATGACAAAAGTTGCGCTGCGCAACTTAATCTAAAATCTGATCAAAATGATTTGAATAAAATGCTACCAAAATTTAAGTATGATAATGAATTAATGCCAAAAGCAGACTATGCAATGAATCAGATTCCTAATTACCACACTACCCACGGGCAGTACCAGTGGCCGCCCTGGGATCCGACCAGGATACAGGGCACTTGGGAGCACAATAGAATATTTGATATGAAAAACAGTGTGAGCGATAAAAACTATCTAGATAAACTGCAAGGATTCAATCTGCCTCATTTAGATCAGGTTCAGAAGTCACCTCAGAAATTGCTTCCAAAATACGATCAAAAGGATTTTCACAACATTACGTACGGCGCGTTGAGCGGTAGTCTGTATGCAACGACAGGGTTGCCGCATTTTAAGGAAACTAAGACTCCAATATCTAAATCCGAATGCTCACAAAAGAACGAATGCAAACCATCTAAACAGTCCAAAACAAATACCGCTTGCCAAACGCAATGCGATAGTAAGAAATCGCATTCGCAAAGTACGGCTGACCAGATGAAGCAAATGATGCAGCGACAAGTGAATAAGCAGCAAGATGTGGTGACTAGTTGCGCGGAGTACCGACAACAGAGCCCTCAGGTCATGACGTCATCTGGCTGTAAGACTCCGTTTAATCAGAACGGGCCATGCGGCCAGGAGAAATCTGACATCGAGAAGAAATCTCGACAGCATTCAAAGAAGGAGGAGTCCCCGAAAGATAATAGTAAGGAGGAGTTATGTGAAGCGGTTAGCCCCGCATTGCAGTCTATGGGGGTGTACACTCCCGACTCGACGAGTAACTCCGTGCATTCGGTGCAATATCCTGCCTGCGAGTTGGACGTCAGTCAGCTCGGACTGGAGTCGCCGACTAGTATAGGATCTGACCTGGCGTCGCCTTGCTCCATGATGCATATGCACCCAGCACCCAGCCCACAGTATTCGACTATTCACATACCGTCCATTATGAGTCAATCTAACCAACCACCGAAACAGCAGAAGATTAACAATAGGAACAGGTATGTAGTGTTTAACTGGATTCTTTATGTAGTTATGTATATATTTTATAATTAATGTATAAGATTATAAAGAGAAAAAGTTTGTATGTTTGGGGTAATCTTCGGTACTATTGATTAGATTTTGAGAACACTAACTGATAGAAAGGTATATTATCTCCGAGTACCATAGACTACTTTTTGCACATGTTTTGAGGTTTTTCATTGACATAATAATACAATTTAACGAGTCTGTTGGCTTTAGGGAGAGGTTAGTGATTTTGACTGTGGTGTCAAAGGTCGATTCCCATAGAGAACACAGATATTTGCGTTAAGATTACTACGACTAGAGTTACGTTAGAGTTAAGTTATTCAATAATTTATTTATACATGAGTGTTTATTAATTTCTGAAATTTCTAAGTTAGTAAATAGTAAACAAAGTATAAACAAGCAATAACAATATTCATAATTATTACTAGTAAAATAAATATCAATTCCTATATTTAAATACTGAAATACAAATAATGAAGGTGACGAACGAGTGCTGACGTTAAGGGCGATAGTAACATTAGTTTCACTTATCCATTTGCCGATGTTTGTAAGACTACTTGTTGTTGTCGTGTGGAATCTGTAAGTATTGTGTATAACCGGAGAGTCCCCCCCCCCCAGGAGTAGCGGCAGCGGCGGAGGCGGCGCGGGCGCCAGCGCCGAGCTGAAGGGCGCGCTGCGCGCAGCCCCCACGCCCCCCGCTCGACGCCAGGCCACGCCGCCAAACATACAGCCGCACGGTACACCACTTACTTTACTCTTTATAAAGTCCGAATTCCTTTTTACCTCACTCTCTTAGTCTAACCCAGGGATTCCCAAACTATTTTGGGCAAGACACCTCTTTTTTTAAATTAATTTCAAAATCCTATCTCTGGTTTCTTTCCTATTAATACGAAATATTAACCGATTTAAAAACATTGCGGTTAAGTGAGTAAACTTGACATCATTTTCTCATAAAAAAGAACAAATTAAATAGACATCAAATTCAGTAAATATCAAGTGTAATTAATAATTTTTAATACAAATTACGTTACATTACACGTAATATTACAAAACGTTAAAAACATTAAGACACGACTTATACAATATCTTGAAAGTTTCAAATAAGAACTTGTGTTAATTAATAAGGGTTGATTTTTATACCTCGTTGAACACTGGAAGGGGGCGATATCGACCACTTTGGGAATCCCTATTCTAACCAATATTGTTTTTAACGACTTAACTCTATTCCGCGGTATATGCTATTAATTCTCAACAGAAGCAATTAATATTATATGCACCTCTGTTCCACACTATACCGCTCCGCTAGACTGATATATGTGTGAAAGCCACGAGATATTATATATATAAAATATCGTATCTAAATAGTAGAAAATATTCGTAACAAATTAAACTTGATAAATCCATGATTTACCAGTTCTAATACCACACACACCTCACTCTAATCTATATCGCATATCATTTAATGAAGTTACAGTTACCTTCAAACTTAAACTGAATATATCAAAAATATTTCAGACAAAACCAGTGCTTCGTAAAGTTCTTTTCCTTCATGACTAGTTAAAAATTCAACTCTAAATAAAAAAACAACGTATTTTATACAACTATATTTTTAAATAAGCACACAAGTAGTAATGGTAAATCAAGTATTTATTATTGCTTATACACATTTGTTATATCATACTCATCTCGTACATACGTACGTTATACATCATATCAAACGACATTTATAAAGCTTTTATGAAAGCCTTTCCCATAGTTACATCCCATCCCATTGTTACAGGTCCCGTCTTGAAATGCGCTGTCCCTCTCCTCACACACATATACTCAAACCACACTACACACCCACTCCCCTACACACACGCTACACACACACCCACATATACACACATTCACATACTATGCATTCTCATTCACTTCACATAATAATAACTACTCACTCCTAAACAGGTTGTACCTGCTTAACGCACCACAACCGTCCAGAGCTAAGGGAGGCTGGTAATTTGTCATACAGGTCTACGACCCTAGTACAGATACCAGTCTCTCACACAGACTCACTCAAAATAACCTAGAGTAAGATTGTTTATTGTAACCATATCTGTGTGAGAGAGAACAATAAAATATATTATTATTATTATTATAGTTATCTATTTACAAGCAGCATGCCATTCATTACTAGTGTATTATTTAGGATGGCGTATTTGCCAACCTTTTAATGCCATAAAATTCACTAAATAATTGTTAAAAATCAACTTTTTTTTTACTAAAAATGGTTATAACATATATAATAATGTGTTCCCAATATTCAAGATACATTGGTATCTGCCTATATCGCGATCTACGATCGATATCGAGCTATAGAAGGGTGGTAATCAAAGTGGTGTCCTTAGGCGGCGGCAGCGTGATGCAGGGCGGCGGTGGCGCGGCGGGCGGCTACCAGGGCGGCTACCTGTCGTTCCAGCAGCAGCAGCAGTACCACGCGGGCGGCTGGCCCCCCTCCTGCTCGCTCGCCAAGCTGCAGCAGATGGCGGAGGCGCCGCAGCACCACCCGCCACACCAGGTACGCGCAAGCTCATTGCTCACACAAATACTAGTGTAGAGCGACAATTCTATTATAACCATTCAACAGGTTTTATGTATTTGGTATTTAAAGTCAAAGTTCTATACAATAAACTGTTTTATTATTGCTATATAAAGTACACAAAGAATTACTTAAATAATTAAAATTAAAAACTCCATCGACTGATTTAAATTGTATCTATACATTATTGTCTTTGAGATATTTGTCAAAAGCGTTTGCGACTAAGACTCAGGTCAGGGCTTGTAAACCAAGAAATAAAAAGGTATTTATAAAGTATTTGTTTGTCGGTGCAGTACGCGCAGCAGTCGTCCACCCCTCCCGCGACGGCAGCGAGCCATTACCACGCCAAGTATTACGCGCCGCCTCATAACCAGCTCGACTCGCCTAGGAACACACGGAATACCACTAGTAAGTATACTACACACTTTCGCTTGATAAACATGTTTATTAATATTGATTAAAATTCTAGCGATAGAATAAGCTCTGCTTTATCGGGATTTAAATAGTGAAATTTAGTTCTAGTTATTCAGTCATCATCATCAATCATCAACAGCCTATACTAGTCCGGAGGTTTCGGCCTACTAAACCACGCTGGCCAGACGGGTTGGTATAGGGTTTGTTTCAAGTTTTCCTTCTCTTTGCAGTGCTGTTGTCTTGCTTAGTTTGCTCCCTTAGTCGGCTCTTACGACACCCACGGGATGAATTGGGGTGGTGACAATTTGTATTCTTAATCCGTCACCACATGGACCTATATTTAGTTCAGTATAATTTTGGTGATCTTATTTTATGTACAATAGGGAATATGCACGTGACACCAAAATGGACAAAATATTTTTATTTGTAATTTTTATTGCTAAAAAAAGATTCCCATACAATTATTTTTGAAATTTATTATAATTTAATAGTGAAATTTAATCATTAAAAATTGGCTTTTTTAAGATTCCCTCGCAAATTTCTAAAACGCAACGCTATTGGTTGAATATGTGACGTCAACCTACACTGTCAAGAGTGTCAACAAGTTGTGTGTATTTGTAATATTTGGTTTCTGGTGATTATTTGTTTCATTTTAAGTTAATAACTGATACGTTTTCAGTGTTAAATTATTAAATTCCCGTGTAGAAAGACTCAACACAATGACTGAATATACTTTGTCAGGTGCAGTTTTGATATGATTTGGGCACAAAGGAACGGCACAATATTTATAATAAGTTTTTATTGGCTTTTCTATGGTAATAAGTTAATTTTTATCACTCACTTTTTTAACTTTCACAAACTTTGTGAATTTCACTCCGTTGTTGACATCGAATTCGTCTGAAAGTGTAATCTGACATCACAAAAAAAGCGCGCCAAAATGGACGTGTTCAAATTGCCCCAAAATGATAGTGATTTTAATAAATTTTTTTTGCTTAACGGTTTATATTTCGGATGTGTTATATTTATTTTTGGTAATGTAATAACTAGTAGAATCGTTTAAAAATATAAAAAAAATACATGCATATTCCCTATTGCTGTTATATTCTGTGGGAACTACTAAGGGTGTATAATAACCGAGGTGTACCGTTTCCAGGCAACCTGAGCCCGATGCAGCACATGCAGATGGCGCCCACGTCGCGCATGTCGCCCAACCTGAACACGCACATCATCAGCCAGTACGGGCTCAACGGGTACCGCGTGGGCCCGCAGCAGCAGTTCAACAACCTGCAGATGATGTCGCCGGCCAACGCCGTGCAGTACGGCGGCGCCGACCCCCGCGCGCAGCAGTCCAACGTCTACGCCTACGGCTACATCAACCACCCGCCGCCGCCGCCGCTCGCCATGCAGCCGCTCAACTCCACCATGCGCCGGTAGCGCTCGCCCTCACCCTCACCCTCACATTCTCTCTGGCACCTGTGCCTTACTAGCTTTTGTGATTGCCTAGCCGAATCGTTTGTAGTTCGATTGTTTTATAGACTGTCCAAAGTCATCTTTTTGGCTCGAGTATAGTCACGAATCAACTTATGTAATATGATAAACTACATAGGTTATGTACAGGCGAGTCTTAATATATTAACGAAAAGTTTCGCTTAAATGGTTGGTGGGTTGAGTGCGTTGATATTAAAAATATATATACGGGGTATAAATTAACCATCTACACAACTTGTTAGTAAATACAAATATCTATATTTCAACCGTCATAAAATATTGAGGTTCTATTTCTGAGCAAAATCTCCAATTTTTTTTTCTTTCGTGTACGCCTGCATATTTTTAGGAGATACAGAATTTAAAAATAAACCTAATTCTTGCGTTATTACAGCACAATCAAATCACTGCTTGTTTTAAAAATCCAACCTAATAATAATAATTTAATATCAGACATTGATTATTCACCACTTTATTCAATTAATAACTATTGACAAATAAACAAAATCATTGCTTTTAATAGATTGTCACAGTTTTGAATAACACAGCAGGTGCAGAATGTTTGGCTAGTTTCAGAGTTCACACTCACAAAAGGTCCTTAATTTGGTCCGAAACGAATAAAATAATTCTGCATTATGCTGTGAGTTAGCTCTGAACATAATTATACATCTCTAAGCATCATATAATCCATACTGTATATGCCTGTATGCCCCGAAGGAGTAGACAGGTCCCATTCCCTCATTATTTTGGTTGCAGTATCTAACTTGACCCATTAAACTGCTGATGTAACCTAAACACGGTTTTATTTTAGCAGAAATACAAGATTACTAGGAACATGGACCCATACCATAAGCTTGTTTTTCCTAATATATGTGCGTAACACTGACAATGGTATAAAAACTTTCATAATAAACCTCATAATAGATTTTATTTACACATTGATGGGTGTAGAAAACATATGTTAGTATTAATGTTATCTATAGCAAGTTGTGTGGACGGTCGGCTGTGCAGGTGGTTCGTAGACGTGGCTACAAATAAATACTCAGTTGGCATTCCATACGAAATTATGTTTTTGGCAGTCCTCTTCTGTCCACTTAGATGCTCGGTATATAACGTTGACCAAAAACCAGATGGAGTGTATTATATATTTAAGTAATTAAGGCATAGTACAAATAAAGATTTTGCTTTCTGATGTTAAGTGCTAGTTTTTGTATATAAAGTTTATATGTAAGTATTGAAATGAACGTTTGACACCAGTTAAGTTGCCTTATCCTGTCGCGTCTCTGGCAGCTGACTTATAATTTTGTATCATATGTATGTAATTCATCATTTTGTTTGTCAATGATAACGCAGTACCCGGTAAGCTGAATTAAAGTACAAAATTGCAAATAAAAATGTATTTAAATCTGTTTTATAATAATAATAATTACTACATGAGTGAAATGTGTAGCATAATTATATAGTGCAATAGTTGTATGTACACTGTAGAAAGTGCTCGTTTTGTACCAGTGCAGCAGTGAGGACTCGGACCGAGGCGGTCTGTGAGTGTACAGTGACCACGGCGTGTGCTTAATTAATAAATTAATATATTCTTTATTCCCAAAGAAACAATGTAATTTGTAAGGTCTTTGGTTATGTTAAGTGCAATGATTTACTGTTCGTACTGCGTACCGAGGTGTAAAGAATCGTTCGGAACCGTGCTCTTTTATATGTATATCGTGTTTACGTTTTGATGTAATGTGTAAGGCGAGGTGTGGCTTGTACAGTCGGCGTTGTGTAATTATAATTTAAACGTAGGATCCTAGTTTGTCTCGAATCTGTTCTGAAGTGCCTCTCACCCGTCTGTCCGCTTGTCGCCTCGACTCCGTGTACCATATTGTAAATGTAATCGCTTTGAACCGTAACAAGGCTGTACACACGCTGATAAACAAGTTATTTGTATTATAGGGTTTTATTTGATCTATGTGATAGCGCGCAACTGAGCGGCCGCGCTCACCCAACGTAAACAGGCCTAAAGGACGGATTATTTTTTAATATTTTATATTCTTTTACACTGGTAGGTTTAATGTTTTATAATTGCGACGATAACTTTGTTTTTAACGCTTCGCTTAAGGATTATTTTCGTGTTATCCCAGTAATTTATTGCCAAATGTTATTAACACCTACGTTTACTATAATTTTACGATTTAAGTATTAGTTATGTCACGTATAGTTTCGTCCTTCGCACGTAGGTATACACAGCGGGGCGGGGCTCGCCCCCCTGCCCCAACTTATTTTGTAAGATCTGCTCCTCTAAGGTTATGAATGTTATTTGTTACTAATGTGTAGTATATAAAATATTGTAAATACAATAACAGTAAGAAACATGTAGCAGGTGTTATCACACAAAATATAATTTTGTGAAAAATTTGCGAGTTTTATTCATTTTACCCTTTTTTTCAATACCAACATAACGTCGCCGTAGAATGAATACCTCGTATGTCAAAAAAAAAAAAAAAAAGACGTGTGGCACTCGAGGACTGCCGCGGTAAAGCTATTGCATAGCTTTTTGTATCAACTTATGCAATTATAATTATTTATTTATTTTATTTATGCAGTATTTCTTTTTCTTTGATATTAATTCAATTTACACTTTTTGAGCGTGGTGACCGATAAGAAAACATTTTTTTTTTCTTTTATTAAATAAAAATATTGAAGCATAATTATATTAAAATTTGTTTTTAAATAAATAAATAAAAAATATTATTATTAAATCAAATTACATATCCATGTAAGATTTTTCTGCATTATGTTGAGGAAATTTCCTTTGACGTTCAGCATTTGATTTTGGTACTGTTTTTTGTTTTGTTTTTAGCGTGAGGTTTTTTTTCGTTACGGAATTTCTGGATTCGGTCCCCGCGCTCAAGGCTCGATAGAAGCTATGCAATAGCTTAAAAAAATTGTAAAAATCTAATGAAAACCACGTATCTCATAGCACAAACAAAGCCAAAAATCCAATTAATGGCTACTAATGCCATCTATGGCTTTGCTGTGCTATGAGATACGTGGTTTTCATTGGATTTTTACAAAATAAAAATATATTAATTTTTTGACATACGAGGTATTCATTCTACAGCGACGCTAAGTTCAGTAATTATTTATTGTTTTTTGCTAGCTGTTAGTTAAAGTAATTTCCTATTGCTTTAATGTCAAAACAGTAGGTTCTGAAGAAATTTCTATGAAGTAAAAAGATGTGTGTTGTTCGACACATGTCAAATGGTGATTGTGTACATGTAAATTTTGGTAGGCAACATGGCCGGTCTGGTTTAAATAGCAAATTAAATCATAATTATGTTGGCATTGCTACAAAAATGCACGTGTGCTAGGAGGGGGTGTGCTTTGTAAAATGTAGACTAGAACACAAATATCATCAAGCGGTAATACGAATGTTAACATGTTACAAGGTGAGGTATGACTACATTGAAGCCTACGTAGCGCCATTAGATGTGAAGCAACATTATCCTGGTATGGACATGTGTGTGGAGATGAGCAAATAATGTAATGAAGAAAGTTTTATGTATGGAAGTTGACAGATGTAGAGGACGACCACAGGAAATTTTGGATGGACTTCGTGAAAGAGGATATGGCTAGAAAGGGATTCAGCAGTGAACTGACGAGTGATAGAGTATGGAAGAATATAAACAAACTGCTATTTAAATAATTTATTAGCCTTCAATAATCTTCAAATTACGGACATATCAGTCTACAATAACATTCAGAACGACAATATTATGTTAATTTCAAAACTATAACACAATTCCATTCTTATAACATATGCAGTACAACATTCTTATGCAAAATAACTCCCGTAACTTATCTTTACTACTGAATTATGTATATATCTTTGCAAAATAATTTAAATATATTCCTAATAGTTTGTTAAATCATGCAATGTAAAACATGGAGGAGCGGACTTTTCTACTACAGGCATTATTTGCTTGAAAGAAGATTCTGAACACAACTTTCTGTAAACTAATTATTTGACACAAGTTTTTTTTTTAATATTTGTGAGTATAAAAAGCAGTGGCAAAATTCTGTTATATTAAGTTGGATTGTTTTTAAATTCAGAATCAACTGCAGCCTTATCTTAGTTATTAACTCAATCGAAATTGTACATTTACTATGACAAAAACGGTCCGTGAAGACAATTTACAACAATAAATTGTGTTATAACCTTTAAACTTGTAAATTTAGTGTGTCATTGACCCTGGCCACCATCATGGCTTTTAATTTTGATAACACAAAAATTTTGTCGCTAATTTGTCGCCAAATATCAGAATTTGGCGGTTACTGGTTCAAAACTTATAAGCGTTTAAAGGGGGCCCTGCTGGAGTCAGTCTCCCAAGCAGGGTCACGCTTGTATGTCAAACACTAGGGCACCTAGTGAAGATCTGTTTTCTCCCAAAATTAGTCGCTAAATAATAGAATTTGTCGGGTCTTAGTTTAGGAGATATAAATGTTATAACTCTCTAGTTTGCTAAAATATAGCTTACGTTAAGTCGTTGGTCAGGACTTTCTTAACTGTACATTACAGGTTTGGCGCTTTAATACGCGGAGACGTACTTGTGCGCATTTCACGCTCTTTCACCCAGAGTGTAACCGTGGGAGTCATACTTGGATACATATGGCCCGGCTCGACCGGAGTTATAACTATCATGGCCTTACAGAAAGCAATTCTTCAGTTTCTTTTTACAAAGTTATTACTATACTAGGCCTAACCAACGCTTGTTTTCTGCTTAATTACATAAAAAATATGTTCATAAATTAAAACAATAGACTAAATTAAATATAACAAAATCTCATTTTTATAATTTCCATAATCTATAAGAGACCAATTTTTCAATACATCACACTTGGCGCACAAATAGAGTCGTTCATAATCTCTAAGCGAGGCTTCATGTTTCTACTCT